GAGAATACAATTGGGTTTCTTGTTGGTGTAAAGAGGTAATTTAGCGTGTTGAATAGTTGAATTGAAGCTTAAGATAGAGAGACTTGTCAGAACACCAAATAAACCTCTTGACATGGGGACCAGTAGCACAGCAAATCAACCTCCCCTTGGATAAACAATGGAAATCCTTTATATAGTGAGGGTAATGGATTATGTGCGAGATTAGTTTCCAAGAAGAATTCGGATGAGAATTGGCTAACGGAAGTGTAAGATATGTTAACCGTTGAATATGAGCATGGTTATCAGACCGGATGCTCAATAATATATTGAAGATTACAAATAGCTTGGTTATCATACCGGATATCCTTCACAACAGTATTATGGGAATTGGTAAATGATTCATTACTTAAGGCATTAAAAAATTTATTTCATTGTTTGTCTAATAAATCATTGTCGGTAAAATATTCTTGATAAGACAATTCTTATGCTACAAATTTATAATACAAATACTTTGATTGCTTCGACATATCATAAATTTTCTCGATTTTTCAGACAAGAATCTTTCGAAAATTCAGGAAGATCAGATATATCTCGCAGTTAACTTTTTCGCAGTTATCATATTTTACAATTTTTACGAATATGTATGGGAAGGGGTGACGGATGTAAAATATTTAATCTGTTTAAGCATTCACTAACTAGAATGAATTATTCTTTACTGATAGTTCTCAATTTGAGCTGCTCGAAGTGTAATATTATGCAGAAAGCGTGTGTGGGATAGTCTTGTCACAGTATTTTGTCATGTCTTACCAAGTTTGAAATGGAGAAGAATGCAACATGATAGGTATTTTGAATTATTTACTGAACAAAAAAGTGTCATCTACATGTTTCATTTAGCACAGATCTGTTTAACATGAACTCAACGATAGTTGATAACGGCTCTTGTAAGTGTAAATATTTGACGGAGAGCAACGAACAAAATAAAGTTGTAATTGTTTCATAAACCTCAGTGATTATTCAAGTACTTACCGTTCCCTATCACAAAGGTACTGGAAATTAGAGGAAATAGAGAGAAGCTATTTAAGGCATTAAAGACGACTAAACACGTTTATCGAGTAAAGGTTTGAAGGACAAGACAAGGTTGAATGATTCATCTACTTGTTATATCATCTCTTGTCTAAGTCCCCCTTCCTTTCTCTCTCTCTCTCTCTCTCTCTCTGCATATATGTACTCCTCAGCATGTCTTTTATAAATGGAGATAATTTCTAACCAAAGTGATCGAATCATGTGGATGATAGCCTGCAACAGATGTGATAAGGCAATGGAATGCGTTGATTCTTCGTTAAATATGCTGATTGATCTGTGAACTCTAAGGGCTGGTGCTGGGTAATTGGACTAGGAGTTACTTTTTCCGCATTTCCGCTCAGCTTTTTCTATAGTCTTCGTTTCTTTCTCTTTTTTTTGTATATGGATATCCCTCAGTATATTTTTTTTGTAGTGGATAGAGGACATGGAAGGTCTAACTTAGAGCTTAGAACGAACGATGGTTATGTTACAGTGAATCAAACGTTTAACTCATTGTTTGTTTTGCCTTCATTTGAACCTCTTTAATTAGATGTTTCGACGTTTGGGCGGATTTCTGATTGTCTTTACCACATCAACTCTTACAATAATCCTTACATGGAGCTTAAGACCCAAACTTTCTCCTTCCATAATTCGCAACAATCCTAGCAGGTACTTCCCAAGAACCATCGCCGATTTAAACGTCCTCGTCGATTATTTCAGTAAGTACAGGTTAGTGGTTTTTATTGTAAAATTAGTTTACAACAAGAAAAAGTTGGTGTTTTGTTGGATTTCTACTGCATGCGATGTTGTTCCAGATGACCAATATTTTGCTTCGAATTCTTTAGTCGTCTATTTTAGAAAATTTAGATAGCTTCTCTGGTATGATCTGTTCAGTTCACATAGGATGCAAAGATAACATGAGACCAAATGGCATGTGTACCCAAGACCGATCGGTGTTTTTCAGGGAGAAACATTTTACCTATCTTCTAATATTGTTCAGCCTTGCCTACTTGTACAAACAATCGTTTGCTATTCCTGGATCTTTTGCAATGGTACTTACTTTTCAGAGATTTACAAACTTAATCTTGTATAGTAAACCACTCAAACTGCTGAACTGTACGGTATTGTTTAAGCCATCAGTATCACCATGCTTCTGCAGAAACTTGCTACTATTTGGTAAAATCAATGTTCTCCTCATTATGTGATTTACGGTCCTGTTAGTTTGTATTTTATCTTTCTCAAAATTTTTTCTGTAGAAAATATGTCACATTTTATATCAAAACGAAAATATTTTCAGAACGTGTTAGCAGGAGCGTTGTTTGGTTGTTGGAAAGCATTACTTCTGGTATGCCCATTGACCGCTGTAGGTGCCTCATGCTGCTATCTGCTGAGTTTATGGTTCGCAAAACCTTTCGTCGAATATTTGTTCTGTGATCGGTTACAACGGCTCAGATATGAAGTAAGCTTTACACCTTTAAAGCTTTACACTTTTATATGTTTTGATGTGGAAATAATGGTGAAAATTGGTGGCTATTTACTTACAATATTTGCGGGCAAACTTTCGTGCATAAAATTATACGTGCATAATTTATCATTCCTAGTTTGAAAGTAACTTTGTATAGGAGCACTTTTCAATGTATAGCATATGATCACTTCGAGTTCGGCATGTCAGACCATCTGTGTAAAATGTAAGAAAAGTGGAACATTTAGTACGTTTCTAGTTAGTGCACATCATCATGGCTAGGCTCCGCGAACGAAGATTTGGAAAGGGCTGTACCCACGCTTGCTGCAAACGCCATGGATGTGAGCGTCCTTCCAGCCTTCGCAGTGAATTTTTTTTTGTAAGGCAAGCATGAGCGGAGCTGCCTCCATTCTTTACTCCTAACGTTTATCTGCCAAGGCCTAGTGAATTAGGAAGGTGAAAGTGAAGTCCTCAGGACGTAGGTTTTGTTAGAATATCCTTCTCTTAGATGGATGGCCTTATAGGGCTAAAGAGCTCCACTTGCCCGAGTTTGAAATTAAAGTTCTTCTTTTAAAATGGTTGCCGGGTGGTTAGTGAGCTCATCCTGTCAGTGATCATACTTTACTGACTCTACAGTCAAAACCGTGTTAGCATGGGAGACCCTACTGGAGGCATAAACCACCGCCAGCATAGCAACTTTGTTAGAGCATCCAAGCTTCTCCCCTGAGACAAGGAGGTGTCTGTGGAAAATTAATACAGATATTGGTCATTTAATCAACATATAAAGTAATTAAACAGTTCATCTGGGTGTGTGGTTTCAAGTTTCTTATTCAATTTCTTCCTTACTACTATGTGCACAGCATATACACTGCGTTCGAGGAGGGAGTGTCTGCTCATGTGTGAAACTTCACCTGCTGGATAACATTATCAGAACGTGAATGATACATTATATTTTTGTTATATTACTTATTGGTCTTCTGATTGTTTTTTTTTTTCTTTTGTAATGGAATTATAATATATAACATGTATGCTCTAATACATGCAAAATATATATTTTTATACTAAACCCTACATACCTCAGCAGTTGCTGATCCAAATATGTGGCGAAATTTTAAGGGAAATATCCTAACCCAATTTTTGGAATTTCTATTTGCTCCACTCTTAGACTCTTGATATATTATTTAATTTAGCCGCTAGTTTATCTCATCAATTGGAGTTTGATTGTTGCAGAGTTTATGTCTAAGAAGCTTTATTCGAGGGAGAAGACATTATGTCACTGCTGGGTAATAAAGTTTGTAATGAGCTAAACAAATTATCCCTCAAAAATATTTTGCAGGTTGCTGAGAATCGGTATAGACTGTTCAGCTTTTTATTATGTGCTCGATTATTTCCACTCACGCCACACTGGTTGTTAAATGTTTGCTTACCGCTCGTGAACATTCCACTGAGCAACTTCGCTTTATCCATTTTGATTGGTCCGTAATTTTCTCCCGTTCACTTTAATGACTATTAGTAGAAAAATACAGCCGTAAACTTTTGATTTGTGTGGATGTTTTAATATTTCCTGCGTAAAGAAGCATTTCAATATTTCAAGTATTGACATTTTCAAGACCCTTCTGAAATCGAAATATACCTATACTTGCTTAGTCTCTTAGAATACTGATTTCAGTTTTAAAAATGCAAGAATTTTAGGATTAATCCCATATAACTTGCTCTGTGTGCAGGCAGGAAGCGTCCTCGGTGACTTAAAAGACTTTTCTGAAATATTCAGCTTGACAAGGACTGTGCAGCTTACTGGATTGGCAGTGGTCGTATTCCTTTTCGGCAAAATTACGAAGAGAGCTTGTTGTACATCAAGCAGAAGTGTCGTTGGACTTATTTCTGCCTTAGGATATTACAGTAATGTAAAATAAGAGTTATCTGTTGTACTATTGTCAATTTGCCTTCCATATTATGTCGGTTAGTGTGTTTTAATATAAAACTGGATTTATTTTGTAGGTTTTTCAATTGAAATGTTTTTCCTAAGCAAAGGAAAGAGCAAAAGTTTGACGACGAGTCCTTTTTTTTCAAAAAGTTTGTATCCATTATTTTATATTCATTTGGATATAAAACCTTTTCACTGTTTCAGTGATATGTATATTTTTAAGTTCCTCAGCGATTTCTAGAAATCGTAAGTTCGAATTTAGAGTAAACTTAACTTCATAGAAAAATTAAGTGCGCTTTTGAAACTTTCAAAATTTTTAACATCCCTTCCGCAGTTATGGTGGAATTTTTCACACTTGTGTCATTCTTTACTTTATACTGATTATTTGGCTTTAAGAACTCTTACAGATTCCCGAACAAAGAGCGGTATTTCCATAATGAACATTGATTCCTTAACCAAATAGCTCATTCTGTTCCAAAAATCTCGAAATCAGTCATTCATATGTATACGTTTAAACGTTTTGTGTTTTGTGTTTTGTATTTTGACACTCGATAAGTTGTGTACAAAGAATATTTACTTATTGAAGAAGTAATATTTTTGACAGTGTATTGCTTGCAACTTTTATTTGTTTTTGTTTTTCCTTTACTGCTGAAAGTCGCACATGCAAAAATACCTTCTACTGTTACCAGTTCTTCCTTAACTCTAAGATTTCCTTTTTTAAATTTTACTTCTATGTAATTAGGACATTTTAAATTTTATGCCATGCTTAATATGAAAACGGTACGGGTTTTTTGATGCAGGAAAATCAATTTTATAAGAAGTGCAGTAACTGTTTGTTCCGGATTCCGGAGTCTAATTCTGAAAATACTTGGGTCTTGGCTAAATTAACATGAAATTTAAATGTCAAACCCGTCATTCTTCGCTGTTAGTTTATGGATTACTTCAACAGCGTATACAAAAACACGCACTCACTGAAAATTATGTAGGATGAATTTGCTTTATAATTTTTAGATCATGACAAGTGTAAAACTGTTGCATACTTTATCTATCGAGAAATATATGTTGAGGAAAAGTATGGAAGAAATGATTAAACTGAGCTAGTCACTCGAAATTTGTCATCAGTGATCCTATTTCCAATCACACAGAATGAAGTGACTGGTAACGAGTGGCTTTTTAACTTTATATCCTTTAGTGTCATTCTGTTACTTTTACAAAAACGAACTGTTGTGCTTGGTATAACTTGTTACACACAATTCTTCCATTCCCAGAAAATAACAGGCTTTAGATGATGCAGAAAATTGGCACAGTATCTTACTTTGCTAACGGACTAAAATTGATCAACAGATTATGTAATTGCTGGAATCAAAGAATACTTCAAAACTGAAGAGTCTGTTTTTGGGACCAGTTTACGCTGGTACATGAGGATGGGGATAATAAAAAAATGCATTAGGTGGGGTCTTTTGGTGGAAACTAAGTCTAGTCCCGCGAGATTTGCATGGAATTTGAATTACATCATCCCGGTACCATTTCCAGGAGTGGGAAAAATGCCTCTCTCGACATTTTGGAAATAAATTCCCGAAAAAGTCACACTTGATAGTTCTATTAGTGTTAGTTATATCTCTGCTATTACGAGATTTAGGAAAAATTAGCGTTTTTTTCGATATGTATATGTCCAGCCTTGTAATCCTTTTAACATAAGCAAACCGCATGAGCACATAGTTGCGCTTCATGCAGTACCGGATCCTCCGGGGCATCATTGTAATAATTACGGCTGAAGAAGATTCTGTCAGGATTTCATTGACTAATGCTAGTCAGTGTCGGAAAATCCAGAATATTTTTATAATACAAAAATATGCTGACATAATTAAAGTATTCTTGTATTACAAAAATATTCCAGGATAATTTAAGTAAATTCATCGAAATTGGTAGAATAAAGGTTGCTTAATTTCAAATATTAAATAAATGATTCATTGCACATGAAAAATAATAATACAATCATTCATCCATCATCCATTATTCTGCTGTAAAGAATATCTGTCTGATACCCAACTTGTGTAAAATTATCAAAGTGATATATTGCAAAGAAGCTGTGATTTAATTTTGTGTGTAAATGTCGGCATATTGTAAAGAACCTCGGTCTAATCATATCCAGTTATCGAACTATTGTAAACAAACTTTCATTACATAAACATGAATGGAGAAACTGTCATTCGATTTAGTTTTTTTTTCCATCAGTAATACACTCGACTGAACCCATTCGAGCAACAGCGTCTTTCGATTAATATCAGTCCAACAACTTGGTGGATCAACTCTCTGTCTGATATTTTCTGATAACTCTCTTATAATGTATATCAAGAGTATTTCTCGTGACTATTAATAAACCTCTATTGAAACTATTCGACTGTGCGTACAAAAACAAAAAATTTCAGCAGCAGTTGGTGCATTTGGTTAAACTGGGCATATAAATTGATTTGCTCTGATTGTTGGACTGCATTTCATCAAATAGTTTTATTGTGGTATTTCATTCATAAACTGTCATTTTCTGCATATATCAATAAAATTCAAAATACTCAGATTGGATAGATTCAATGTCGACAGTTGGGCGACATTTTGCGAAGGGTAATCATTTACTGTTTTTTTAAAAATATAAAATGATAGCATAGATTAAGGTTTAAGTAATAAAGAATGCTGGAAATAAGCAAAGAATTTCCTCAAATAGCCAAAGAATAATAAATTTACATTTTCATATCGCACACTCACGAAAATTTTTTTTCATAAACATTGTGGGAAATATAGTCTGTGGATGGGTTACTGATATACTTTGACAATCTTTTTGTTGCTGAGATATTTGCTGTTCTCATCAACTTACAATGCCCATAGAATTCTAAATACATCGAGGTTTGGCATGCAACAATTATATCTGAAAGGCTTTTGTTTTCGTTTTTTGAAAAAATTTCCTTTTCAAATTTCAAATCAGAAAAAGAACTCTCATAACTCTCATTAATCGTTATATTTCTATGGATTGTTTAGAACACATATGCCCTTTCCAATTATTTGATCTAAATTGATGCAACAAAATTTTGCAACTGATGATAATGAAAATTTGTTAGGGAAGAGTAGATTAAAATTCGAATTGATCTTCTAACATTATATTTAGGATTTTAAATTAAATTTTAGAACTAGCTATTTTTCCCAGTTCTTTTCTTTAAAACTTCCATTCCCATATGCTTGGATCAAATTGCCGTGATAGCTTGACGTAAGCTATTCATTTCACTTATTGGAAGAGCTAGCAGTGTTGTACGCTAAAACAAAATTCTGCAATTGTTAATATTCGAGTTGACATTACATTCACCCATTGTCGACCATTTGACAAATGGTAAAAATCGATGAAACGATTGATTAATTGATTGATTGATTTGATTTGAACGCTTTCTCTCTCGTAAATGGATGCTGCATGCGCTTTACTTCCACATTGACCACCATTCACTGATGTTCTTTGTTCTTTTTTTTTCCAATAGTCCAACAGTCTAATTAGTTGAAATGATATTATTGGGAATTAAATGCATCTTTTCAAGCCTTTAGTTAGCCACAAAGTGATTGTTGATGTTAAACAATGGAAGTTTGACATCGCTTTATTTGATACTAATTAAAAATTAGATTTTGCAGGTACTACCTACAATTCTGAGATGAATATGGAATTTTGAGAAAGAGTTGTATGCTGACATTTTTTAATTTTTGATGAACTTTTACCCTTCATAGTCGAAATATTCGAAGCTTTAGTGAGGCATTAAATGGACTGGTCTTTCCTCCTCCAACACTCCTCATTCTCAAATTGAAGCAATCTTTTCAGTTTGAGCTCTTTCGATTGATCTCTAGAAAAGTCTTTATATCATATACATTTTTATTTATATTTGTTCAAACATTGTTAGCTTTCATTATTTTTTTGTTTTGGCTTAAGAGTAGTGTCTGGATACGTCCTTTATGTTCTGTAGCGCAGTTTGCTTAGGAAAAAAGTCTCACTTATAATGGTGTCAGTTTACACAAATAAATAAAAATTGTTTACTTTACAGTCATAAAGAAGTTAATTAGTTGTATATGATTGTTATCAATACTTACTGACAAATTGTCTTTTTTTGGCATTATTTTATCAACTTTTTCTGTGCAGTTCTAACATTATCTCATGACCATATCATCATCATATGAATACTGAAATATTGGTTCTCTTAGCACTTGAAAAAAAAAGCACTTTTAGTGACGATAGTTTTGATCATTGATTAAGCATACTATTATAATGAACATTTTGCAATAGCCAATAAATGATTGATAATGATGAGCAAGTTATTTCATCAGAATAGTTTTCAAGACATTAAAAATCAGTTTTTAATGAAAAGAAAAAAATAGAAAAAAAGTATAGGAGGGAATGGATTAGAATGGGAAGAAGCGAAAATCAATTTTAAAAACTCATTTGTTCTTCGTTTATTGTACAGTTCTATTAATGGATCTCGAAAAATCTATTATGTTTTGATTTTTTTTTTTTCTTTTACATAGTAC